AGTATTGCAAATAGAGGTTATAAATTATTTTAGCATTGTTTAGTGAATGGTGTCAGTCAAGGATTTAGTCTGTTCTTATACAGCTGCTGTCATACCCCCAGGATCATGGATTCAGACCTCCCTGACTCAGTTTGGCAGGGTGACTAGTGTGTGTATTGTGTTACATTTCATTATACTAGATTTCTAATCCATGTGCTTAAATTTTATACCTGCAAAGCCCTGATAACATACAAGTAGCCCCTCTCCAGTTCAGATACTTAGAAATGCAAAGTGCTTCATGAATTTGTTACCAGTGGCTCTTACTTTGGACCTGTGTAATTTGCAGTTAATAAATGGTGCAGATGAGCCTCTGCTGACAGCTTAATTTAAAGCATGGTGACACCTCACAGTGGGCAGCTAAATAATGAAATTAGGGCTTTATTTCAGCAAATTAGGGCTTTAGTTCAGCAAATAAAGGTTTACAAGGTTTATGCACACATTGAGTTTATTGTAATGGGATAGATATATGCCAGAGCTCTGATGTCAATTCCCTAGGCAGCTGCAGGACATAGCTTGCCTGACCTTATCCTTCTGTCTGCCTCGGATCTGAAGTTCACTGTGAAACAATGCACGTTCTGTTATTAACTGGCTGCCTTTCAACAGGGCTTAAGCTGTATTTGGGTGTGCTGCCTCTAACCTAAACTGGTGCAGCAGCTTAAGCTCCTGTAGGTCTCATGTCTTATCACTGAAAAACCTCCACAACAGGAAACAGGTCACTGTGTTGGGGACAAATCAAACCTTACTATTCCCTTTTATACCAGCCTTTGAGCTGACTGTTGTCTAGATGAAAACTGATAGTGAGGAAGGAAGAAATCCTGTTTGTCTGTGGGGAGTAGTCTTGATGCTACAGAGTACTTTTGAACTGGGAACTGAACTTCTTGCATGCTCAGACCACACATGTTCCTTCTTAAGTCTTGAGGGAACAGTACCCAGGCAGGACACTCAGAGGTGAAGCAGGCAGACACAAGAGGCTGTAGATGCCTGGAGCGGTAAGCTTTGTGGGGTCTTCACTGAGAGATCAAAGACAATCCTGGGATCAGATTATGAGCACTCAGAAAGAAGCTTTCTGTTGAGCCTTTTCCTGATGCCATGGCAACAGACAATAAATTTCTCCTGCAATCCCCATCTCTCCAATTGTAAAATGGATTAATGATACAGATCTCCTTTCACAACACCCTTTAAGATATAATGGTGAAGGGTGGTTTAACAGTCTGAGTCACTGAACTATAAATGTATGGCTCTATTGGATGCACAGGACCATTAGAGCAAAACCTTCAGAAGCAGGTTGAGGATCAGCATTTTTGGAGAGCCATGAGTTCTTCCAAGGACTCCCTCCATTGCAACTCTAATCTTCTTTAAAAAACATAGGGGTGGAAAAGGGGTTGGGGTAGTGTGAGTGTGCATGTGTAATATGAACATTTTCCAAGCAAATTAAGTTGAGTGTGACAAATTCAGATAGTGGACTGGGCACTAAGAGATAGCAGAGTGCCTAAATAAATATACTAGGTAGAAGACACAATGATATGTTACTGAAGAACATAGTTCCTGATGTCTCATGAGCCCTTTGGTGCATTGTTTCTTTTGTCATTTTATTTAAGGGTTTCATAGTTTTTCCCTAATAAGTCCTTCTACCTCCTCATTCTCTTTTCCACACACTGGCTTCTTCCTTCTGTCTTCCCAACATCTTTTCAGCTGCTACAACTCTTCTACAACTCCCAGGGGGGTTTTGTTGGGTTTTTAAATCTGTTGTTGTTGTTGTTTTGTTTCAAATCAGTGGCATTTTAAATGTCTGTGATTACGAGAGTTTCCATGGAGTCAACAAGCGGTGCAATCATTGATGGTAAATTCAGGGTGGAGAAGGAGAGAGCTTGAGCACGAGTTGCAGGGAGAAGACAGGATTATACTGAAGTTACAGTAAGTGAGGAGAGCTGGATTCTTCTTCAGGGCAGATGTCTTTGTCAGCAAAAGCAATAGACAGAGCTCGAGGTGGCAACACTGATGAACAGCCATACAGGAAGCCTGACAGGAGAAAGACCATTAGAGCAGCATGTGAGTGAGAGCCCAGAAATTATGGGTTCATGCTCGGGTGACTTTTTGGCCGCTGTTTAGGGTGAGGTGTAAGTGGAGAAATTTAAACTGAAGCAGTGAAAATTGAAGCTGCTGAAGATTTAGATTCTTCTGCCAAGGCAAGTGTTAGTTTAGGTGAGATGGAGCTGGAAAGATTCAAGATTCATGCTGTCTGTCTTCAGCATTTTTGAACAGGGCTTTCCTTGTTTGTTCTTTCTTTTTTGGTTTGCACATTTAGTTTGTCTAAGGTCTTTCTCACTGAGGCAAAAATATGTTCAAATCTGATCCTCAGTTCCTTCTTCTTGGATTCTAGGGCATTTAAAGAGTGTAGCAGAGAGTTTAGCCTACCTTGTATCTCTATTCTAAGTTAGTCTCTCTCCCAGTTGCCTTCTGCTTACTGGTTTGCCTTCTGTCTAGCCTCTTCTTTCTGGTTGCTCCTAACATACACAAACACAGCTGAGAGACAAAACAGTGAGAAAAAAACAGGAAGCCTTTCCAGAAGTAGCTTCTGCTTCTTTCCTAAGCCCTCTTTGTGCAGCCAGACTATGTGACACGTGAATGAGGGGAAGGAGTGGCTTTATTTAGACAAAATTAACCTCTGTCCATCCTTTCTGCTCCTAACCAGCTGTAGAGTCTGTAGGGCTTCCCACGTGGCTTTCACTGTTTACATCTTTGCTCAGCAGGTGCTAAGTTCTGGACTAGAGTTCACTCATGGGTTTTCTAGGCCAGAATGAGCACAGCGAGACAAAGTGTTTTCTCCTTAGCAGGATGGCATCACCTTCCATTACACCTCAGCATCACAGTCTGAAAGAGGTACATATTTTCTTCCTCTCTTTGTGGCATTATATCACCAACTTCAGCTGTATGACCGTGAAGAGCCAGGGCTAGCTGCCCTTCCCATGAAGCCTTTCATCAGCAATTTATTTGCCTCTAAAAACCTGGCAATCACATCACTGCACTGTTGTGCTCTGGTCAGTTAGCTTAGCTGCAGTAGGTCATTGAACAAATCCATTGATCCGATGAATTCCTGAGGTATAAAAACCATCAGGGGAATCTCCACCATTACCCAGGCTCATTGGTATTACAGACTTTAAATCAATTACTACCAACTCTATCTCAAATCTCCAGAGGCTACATGGTGTGTAATCAGTCTGCAAGGGTTAAATTCCTGCTAGTTAAATTCATTGCTGCACGCAGCTGTGATTTTCATAAGGTGCAGTTTGGCAGAACTGCAAGAACAGAATTACGGTGATCAATATGCATCACAGTCAGAGCATAAGAGATAAAGGTTTCAACCATGGCTTGTTCTGCTGTTCTGCAGAGTACTACAGCCCCCAGCAGTTGAGTCTGGGCCAGCATTTTCAGTGCTACCAAATATGGAGAAAATGTAGATGCTGAGACTTCTTTTTTTCAGAGAACACACTGAACCACCTTTGTACCTGTGCGCTACCTAGAGATTGAAATAACTTTGTGAAGCCCATGCACTTTTTCTGCAGCACCTTGGTTCTTGCCTTGTAGTTAATTAACATGGTAAAGATTGTTGGCCAGATTGCTTGGCTGTTATATTTCCTCGATGTATTATAAAGGCTGGGTAATAATCCTCACTGCATTCCCTGTGATTTACATGGTACATCAAAATGAAGCCATTTAAAGTAAGCTGTGCCAAAGAAAATCTCAAGAATTTTGCCAAAGATCCATATACAAATTAAGATTCCTCTCCAGCGTAACTTTCTGTTTCACCAGGCTGAAAGGGTACCTGCTGCCTTTTTCCTTTGAACTTGCTTGTGAACTCTCTAATGTAGATGAGGAATTCCTGCCAGCTAACCAGAAAACCATGAATTTCAAATATGAGTGGAGGGATAAAGCAAATAAAGGAGCAGTGCCAGTGCTCTCTCTATTTAATTTTTAAACACAGAGCCTTAGTGGGGTAAACAAGAGAAAGACTGTCATGCAAGTAAAATCCCTAAGTCTTGAGCCAGAGGAAGTCTGCCTCCTTCTTGGACCACCACTGGCTCTCTAAATCAATGCTCACACATCCATTTATTAATAATGAATAACAATAAACTCACGTAAAGAATAGCAATAAGCTCAGTCCCCAAAATCACCTTCAGTGTCGTAATGCTCCTCCTTCCCAGCCCTGGGGAGGCGTGGTGAGGACAGACTGCTCTGCCATCTTGCAGCCACTCCAGGCTGATGGCTCCTCCCATGAGTGCCCCAGTGAGGCACCTGTGTGACAGCACAGCTCAGTCAGTCACACCACACCACTGCTGGGAGCAAATGGCACTGGCAAGCCCCCCCTGACACTTGTAGAATGAATTCATTCCTAGTTGTTATGGGCTTTGTTTTATGTTACTGTCTACAAGTACCCTGTGTGTAGGTAGGCTGTAGGTAGAAATTGTGGGAGGGCCTAACGCTGTCAGCTGTAGCCCCTCTGCTGTCTGTTAGCTGCATGATGGGTGACCTATCAGAACGATCCTTGATTCTTGTTAATTTGATGTAAAGCATTTCCTGCTTTATTATATTGATGACTCCCTGGTATTTTTCAGACTACAGGAGTCTTTTTTCTTTTCTTCTTCTTCTTCTTTTTTTTTTTTTTCTTTTTAATTAAACTCAGTACAGATAAGCAGTAAAGTTGTGGCAGTTTTGAAGATTTTATCACAGCTCTCCCAAGATGTTTTCCTAAGAGCTCCAGCTCTTGGTCATATTTAAATACGTAGCTAATTTATAATTTAAATTACTTTTGCTTACAGAGCTGCAGGAGGGAGAAAGGGAAAATATATGACCCTAAACATTCCCACACTAAAAGTAAATATTTATTTGTTTAAAATTTTTTGACACTTTAATCCACTTTAATGATAGGAAGGGGGAAAAGAGAAACCGATTTAGCCTTTCAGAGCTGTGGTTCAGTTCCTTTGGTGTGTAGGCAGTACAGGCAAGTAACATTTACATTCAAAGCAGCTGTACCAGGTAACACTCATGGGGAGTGAGTGGAGGATGTGACAATTGTTGTATTGAGAAAGAGGTGCTCCACAACCCTGGGAATGTTCCTGTGTTCAGACCAATGCTTTCTCTATAGCATTTGCAGCAGTGCATTCTAATTAGCATGAGCTGAACTGCATCTGTGTAGAAATGTCTTCCAGAACAAAGCATTCAGATGTTTCCAAAAGGACCTGCCAAATATTGCTAGGTCAGGACCTTAATTTTTCAACATCAGGGCAGTGAATATTCAAAATTCAAAATGTACATGACACTAGGTAGATATGTTAAGATACATGCACTATTATGTCTCAGCACTACACTACTCTTTCAGGTTGAGAACTGTTATAATTTTTTTGCCTAGCTGTGGTAAAAATACAGAAGCATTTTTAACAAGTCCTGCATGACACTACAGTGCAAGCTGTGAGCCTTTGTCATAGGGGAAACTCTACAGGCATAGAATAGATACAGAGGTTTTGGTGACATCTGTAGCTCACAGTTCTGTTCAAAGCTTGAAGAACAAAAGTACCTAGACATTTGCTTATCAGTTTTCAGCCTGTTTCTGAGTTCTTCTGGAGTCACCGAGTTAAGCACTTGTCAGAGTTAAGCATGTGGTCTTCTCTGTCATGCCTTTGCTGCAGGACTTTGCTGGAGTCAGCAGGGGCATTTTCTGGGTAATAACTGCAGGGTTTGGTCCCTTACCTCTTACTATGCCTCTTCTTTTCTGGTTCCAAGATTTCTTTTAAGCTTGTTTGAATAATCATTATTTTTAACCTTTTCTCACAGGAGTGTTTGCGTTTGGACTTTTTGCCACTGACATATTTGTAAACGCTGGCCAGGTTGTGACAGGGAACCTGGCTCCCTACTTCCTGACTGTTTGTAAACCCAACTACACTGGAAACGACTGTCGGGCCCACCACCAGTTCATAAACAACGGCAACATCTGCACTGGGGATGTGGAGGTGATTGAAAAGGCAAGGAGATCCTTTCCATCCAAACATGCTGCTTTGAGCATCTACTCAGCTTTATATGCCACGGTGAGTGCCAGTGATGACTGCTGGATTGTGTGAGAGGTTTCTGTACGTGCATCTACATGGGGTCGGTTTTCTTACCATGGGTTTTTGAAGAAAAAAGAGAGTTGTTTTGGAGAGGGCTTTCCTCACTATCTGTGGTGGAAAATCCCCTTCTCTGTCCCTGTTTTACCAATCCTAGTATAAGCAAACCAAATGCTCATTGCTGCTGGGGCACTGTGTGATGTGGAGGCATGAGGTTCTAATCTTGTCTTTGTTCCTCATTTTTTGAGCCTTTTGTTTGGCCTTTTGGTATGGATTCAGCCTCTTCTCCTTGCCCCTGTATCATGAACATTGAGATTAAGTTGATGGTTAAACAGCTCCTGAACCACTGCTATTTCTTTTGTTCACATGCCATGGGGTATTGAACATTTAAAATGCATATTGTGCCAGTTCAACAGGAGGCCAAACTAGGTTGGATTTTGCTCCCCTTCTTTAGGACCTGAATTCCTCTTGCAAAGAAGGCTGTAATACAAGTCTGTGCCAGAATTTTGCTGTTGTCACAGAGAAATGGACAGCAGTTGACATCTTGACAAGGTGACACAGCTATACTGTCAGGAAGGAAATTTTCTGTCTTTAAAAGCTTTGTGAAACGGATGGGATGCCCCTTTGTGTTCTCTGGGTAAAGTCTCTGTAATGTTTGAAAAGTGATCCAAGAAGCTTACTCATAAAGTAGGAAACATTAGCGGTTTTGCCATTAAGATCCAAGATTCCCATCTCAAAATGGCTTAACTAGGGTTTTTTTCCCCCAATAGCTTGACTAAAATGAGTGGCAGAGTGTCTGTAGGTCATCAGGATTTGACAAAAGCCTTAAACTTATTAATGACAGAGTATTTACTGAATATTTTACCCTATATTGTTAGAAGATGAATAAACCAGCACAAAATGAACTATAAAACGAAGAGGCCACCCGCTGCTGTTTCAATATCCATCTGTTTGCAGTGAATGTTGTGTGAACAATGACAGATATAAATTGGGAAGGCCCTTGGTCAGGATTTGCTGGGAAGTGTTTGGAAAGCCCATATCATTTTGTGCACATTATTTCTGAACAGTAAGTAACCATGTGTGAAATGCAGCACCTCAAACACTCAACACTGTTGTAGCAGCTGCTTTCATTGTGATAAACTCTCAGGTGGAAGGTTTGGGATCAGGCTCAGTCCTCGTTCTGCCTTAAGCTAATTTCACTCTTTCATGCACTTTCCATGTCCAACCTCCCTTGTTTCCTGCCTAGGAAGGCAAGTTTTCTACAAACTGGGGAATGCTTTTCCTTCCTGAATTTAAGACCACAGTAGTTCATTTTCTGATCCCTAGTCTTTCGGGAGTATCTGCAATGGGCCTGTACTTCTCTCCACATAAGAAGATATCAGGTGGAGCCAGAACATGGAGTTATTTCCAAGCTGCAAGGTTATAAAAGTCTGCCCTTAAGGCATTTCAGCCTGCAGTCCAGTTCTAGGCCAGTTCTTTGCCTGAAGACACCCTCTAACACTGAAGTTACTCTCACTTGTCTTTTCTCTGCCTGTCAGCTGGGAATAACATGAGCATTACACATGAAATGCAGTGTTCAGATGTACCTTTGCTTAGTAATTGTGCACAATTTTGGGGGAAGTGTCTTGCTGATTCTAATATGCGTGATAGGGTTGAACATGAGGAGGCAGGAGGATGGAACCAGTACAGACCGTGTCTTTCATAGTATAAATGTCTGTTGAGATCTAGGAGCCTTCTCCTACCTGAGAACCTCAAGTATGCTCTGGAGAGCTCTCTGCATTGATTTGTTCATTAGTCTGCTGGTGGCAGTACTCCCACTGTGATTGGTTTGGCTTTGTGTTTTGTTTTTGTTTTTGTTTGTTTGTTTGTTTGTTTTTTATAATCTGGGGCTTAGAGTTTATCAACAATGTTTTTTCTTATCACCCATCAAAGAAGCTGAGGAGAACCCAAAGCACCACTTCTGTGATCTCTGCAGGTGAAGATGAGTCTTGCATGCCTAAAGTAAGCGAAAGAGAAAACAGACTGCAAGCCCTGGCTTCCACACTTACACAAAAATTAGGGTGGCATTTAATGAAGTTTTACTAGTCTCCCAGAACTGCAGGAAGAGATGTCAATCACTGCACATAGTACACATGTTGTTGTACAGTTAGAAACACAAGCTTCTAAGTACCTTTCCCAAGAGAAAATTATAGGCTCGGAATAGTCCTTCATTCACTAACAATTCTGGTAAAACAAAAAAACTGGTAAAATTGTATGTTCCATATGGGTATCCCAGTTACACCTTATTTAAACAACTGTGACTCCCTGCTTTTCTGAAAATGTTCATGGCAGAGTCAATAACAAGGACATGTAACAGATGGGATGTGGAATGTTAGTGTATGTCACCAGCACAACTGAAGGTTCTCTTATTATAGAGAGAAGGCAGATAACCTTGCTGATCCTCCTGTTTGCCTCTGGAGCAAAAGCAAGAAAAATTGTTTAACAGTCACAACTGTTTTTTTGTGGTTGAAAGATACAACTAATCACTTCCATTGGCTATTTATTTTGAGGATCCAAGGTTTTTAGGATTCTTCAGCTAAGCTCTTGCCTCGCAGCACCTACAAGTAATACTTTCTGTCACCTCCATCTGGCTAGAGACTCTAAATCACATTGTATGTGACCTGGCATCTGTTGTTTATGCCTGGGTGTGTTGCTTCTTGACTAGATTAGAGTGTGATGCAATATACCTGGACTTGAAACTTTCAATATTTGAGAAATTTATAGAAAATCCCTTCTGCAGCTCAGGTCACTGTGACCCAACCAACAACTTCATCCATTTCTGCATTAATGCCTACCAGACTAATCAACGAAAATCAAGGCCTTGGCACTTTGAGGAGCTGCACTGAGCATCTAGGAGACTGCATCTAGAATACACATCATTGTCAAAGGCTCTGCTTCCCTCTTACTGTAGAAATCTCTATGGTAAAGGAAAAGATTGTTTGTAAAGCTCAGAGAACAAAGAATTTTTCAGCATTGTTATGAAACTGAAATTTCCAAGGAAAAGAAACTATCACACATCTTCCCACTTTTTACTGAAAGGACAAGACTTTTTCCACACTGCCTTTTTCAACATAGATATAACATGTATTTTAAATATATGCATATATTTCACATATAAATATATAAATACATATATATACCTATGTATGTCTATTTTAAACTTGGAAACAAAAAAGTCTCCTTGACTGCTTGTGCTTTGGTTTGTCAGAAGAAGGTGGGAGAGGAATTACACACAGGAGAAATGCTACTATCACACATTACACATTGCTAAATACACTGCTTAAGTGTGCTGATAAGAGCACAGCAAAGAAGCTGAACAGATAAATTATATGGTTAAATCATATGTAGTTTATTTTTTTTATATGATTTCTGTTTTTTTCACACCTTTTTATATTTCATTCCTCCTCTCCTACCCATCAAGTAATTGTTTCTGATGTTTAGAGTTTTGTAAATAAGTTTTCCCTATAAATAGCATTGTGGGGACATTTTCAAAAACGTCTGCTGGCTTTCACTGGGATTTTGGGCTCTTACAAAAAGCTTTGAAAACATACTCTAAGTGAAAGGGTAAACACATAATGAGAATCTTTGCTTTAGGAATCAGGAACAATAAAGATCAAACTGCAGTGGCTGGGAAGTCTGACTGTAATGGCGAAGCTTTCCCAGTCATTTCTGAACTGATTGTATGTGATTTATGGATGAACTGGGGCATACCTTCTGGGAAAACAGTTTGTCTTGTTTTAAACCCTCCTCACGAGGGTTTAACAGATTTCCCTTGGCAATCTGTTTGCATGGTTAATTACCCTTGCTGCTAAAAATGTTTTCTTTACTATGACATTACGTTTTC